TTGAGCATGCACAACAACTGCTTCCCGAGGAGAGGGCCCCAGGGAGCATTTTTGCAGTATTATGCAGTCAGCCATAACTAAAACATCATTACCACCCCGTTCACAGTCCGGAGTAAGAGTGCAGACTGGAAGCAGAGAGGAGGCGGATGGACTTATGAAGTTAATGACCATTTTTATTACCAAAGAAACTCCACTGGCTATTTTCTCAGGTAATCACAAATTGTTTTATTTTAGGTCATTTAGTGGTCATTTTCAGCACCTTAAAATCACTCTCACCATCCAGAAGGAAATCAGAGAAAAAGAAAGAATAAATGGAGGAGATGGAACCAAGCGGTGTTTGATGAATGTGTAAAATTACACAAGCACCATCTAACCCACATTGATAACAATTAAAACACACGAACTGATTAAGACGTGACCTAAACACAAGGTTAATTGGTAAAACATAATAATGGGATAACTGAAAGAAATAAGCTGCATTTTGTACTTTCACATAACCCAATATGAGTTTGAGAAAACAGGTTCAAGTTGACAGAAAATGAAGGAACAAATCATCTCTGATACATCACCAAAATAATAAAATTTCATAATGACGCCATAAAATTGTTCCTGCTTGTGGGTTACAGACACAGGTGCTGAGGGGGAGAAGTGAAAAAGTTTGCTAGATTTCCTTTGACTTTTTAGAGTTTTCTTTTTAATGAGCTTTTTCTGCACATTTGCAATAGATAAGTTAAAAATCTCTTGAACAGCTGGAGCAGTTATGCCATTTAACCAAGGTATCATAGATGAGATGTTTGTTGGTTTCATCCACCTAAAACAAGTAAATAAAATGTTCCCCAACCCAATCACTATGCAAAGTAATGTAAATACAACCATCATATTAATCATTCTGTGTCATATGATTGATAGTTTTAATGCTTCTTTACCTTGAATATTAAATTTCACTCACGATCAATGAAATAATTAGGTAATCTAACTGAAGCATGGCTTGTAGCTACAAAATAAAACTATGAGTCAAAAGATTTAGAAGCAGATATGCTAATACCTTTTTTTAAAAAACTTTTTTATGAAGTTGACAGTTTTAATCTGTTTTTATTGCAATGTCTCTCATACTGTAGTCCAGTCGTCACTAACCTTTTCCATTTGAAGAGCCACTTTTGCTACAAAATAAAGTTTGTCTCGACCGGTGGTGCTCAATACGTCGATTGTGGGAAGGTTTTGGGTTGATCTCGGCGGTATGTGACAAACTGAAGGCCTCCAGGACGCTGAGACCGGAACTTCCTCTTCTGACAGGCTTATCAAAATATTCACCAAGATCCAGAACGTTTGTAGCCTCATTAAAAAATAATAATTTAAAAGAAAATCAGCAAAACGTGTCAAAATTAATAATCATTAATTATTGTTTCAACAAGGTGTTGCACAATTCAGTGCGTTTCGGTACCATTAACAAATAAAAAGGCGACTCAAAGACCGACTGACTAGGAGTTCAAATTAGCTAATCAACTGTGTTCACGAGAGGCTTATTAATAATCGAAAACTAAATAACAAGCCTGGAAACCTGATATCGTACCGGTGAGTTTATACAATAACGTGAGACGGAGAGTAAAAAGGTGCGAGTGGTTTAGAGTTGATCACCTGTTCGGGTTGTTTCACCTCTGTTCACCTTTGCTGTGGTTCATCACAGCTGCTGTAGTTTCTGAACATTCAATAAACAACAAACTTGGACTAATTACCTCGCTCATTTGCAGCAAACGTCACAACAAAAATCAAATAGGACAAATATATTTGATTAAGTTTTAACAAACAAACGGCTTCTACCACCATGATTATGTGAAATGAAATTTATTATGTCCCAAATTCAGAAGATTTGCCTTTACTGAGGAAGAAACTGCGTTAGGTTTCCTGTCCCTTCATCATTTCTTATACAACTGATGTATATTCATATAGAAAATGAGTCAATAGGGTTTCATTTACAATTTTATGTCTTCGTGTCTTGAGGTAGATCTCAGCTGGCTGGTGGGAGAAAAAGTAGATCTTGGTCTCAAAAAGTTTGAGCACCCTTGGTAAAAAGACTTTGATCATGTGTACTAAATTAAATGTCTCATGTAAAAAAGAGAAGGAAATAAAATTTGGACAAAATTCCAAATTTAGAAAAGCTTGAAGCAAAAAGCAATAAATTACTTTTATAAGTTTCGGTGCCTTCTACTGCAGATATTCTGACAGATATTGTATATAAACATACAGAAGAACTGCAAAATAGCCCTTTTTTAGTTTTTTTATTAGGACAACAGTTTAAATGCTGTGACAAATTTCTTACTGTGCCTATTGACAAGTATTATCAGAGTTGCTTTATGAGTTCCATCATTGGTAAAAAGTATTTGGTTACAAAATTGTACCTGTTGTTTAAGCCCACTTAACAAATAGATAATTAAATATGTTTGTATGCTATTTTGAATTATTGATCTTGGCTTAATAAGAAAAACCTTTTGGGAATTTTAATAACATTTAAGAGTGGGTGCCGATTACTTTCATACAAATATTTTGGATTAATCATCTATAATATACATCTGGTAATATAAAATAGTTCCTGCTTGAGATGTTTTTTTCTCTCTCTCTTCACGAAGATCTGTAAAATTATTCTCACCCTGTTTTTTTTTTTTAAAAAAGCTCTTTTGTTCAATTCCATATGCCAGAACCAGCTATTAGCTGTCAGCCTCCCTGTTGAGCCATTGACTTTCTCCTGCCAGAACTAAAAAGCAGTATTTAATTAAGAAAAACTAGTCTCTCATTAAAACTACAGCAGATAAACTGAACTGACACGTTAATGAACCAGTTGTATACAGAAATGAAAAAATTGCAGAGGCTAAAAACCATTGGATGAAGTAGAAGGAAATAACAGCCTAGTAATGATAATTTAAGCAGTTGCACTGTAAGAATTACCATTAACAGTGCCCAATAAAAACAAAGTGCTCTAACAGTTTAAGTAAACACTATTTATCTCATCTTATAAGAATTGCACCTGAATCTTAACTGAATTCCTTAAATGAATGAAGTCCACCTTCCCTTTAAATCTTAAATGCATTTAATTTTCTTCCATCTCCCATAAAATGCTCTATGAAGCAAAAGAAGAAGAAAAAAAGGTAGTTAACCAGAGCTGAAATCGTTTATATTTTCATGTTTATAAAGTGCTTTGTGCAGTGATACACCCCTGCAAACATAAACCCTTCCACCTGGTGCATTGTGTCCCTCGTCCAGGTTGTAATCTCGCCGTGTAATGAAGGTTGTAAATCAGCACCTTGGACAGCGTTTTCAGTACCAGGGGACGGCAACAACAGCTGACATTCCTCCTTACCGGAGCTACCCTGTATCACGCTGATGACTAAACAGAGTTATTCAGGCTGTTGCACAGCTAGATTAGAAGATCTATGATTCAAAGAAAAGGGGTAAAGAGGTTGAGTTTGTTTCTGTGTGAATGACGTCCTATTTAAGAGATATGCTGCTGCTGCAGAGTGACAAAAAAGATATGCTGTGAAGAGGGTGGGTAAGACACAAAATTCTTCCTATAACAGTGCACATGCATAGGTGATATCAAAGCACTGAACTAAAACAAATTAAGAAGAAAATGTCTGATTTTAAATCGTTCTTATGTTTAGATGGAGCTGCAGAAGTGATGAGCTACAAGAACACACACTTTTCAACACCTTTAGCATTTGCTCAATAAGAACATGGGTGTTAAATCCAAAACAGAAACAGGACACACACACCGAACAATGCACCTCCAATTTAACACTTCAGTATGAACCTGTAAGCCTGGGTATGAGGCTTGATAACCTGGCCTAGAAGTTTTCAGAGTCAAACCCTTGCTGTTCCTAATTAATAACAATTCCACTTATAAAAAACGAATGATGTCTGCATTAAGTTAAATATTCATGCTCTCAGAGCTGGTCTATTTTTATCATTAAGGCCTCACAGGTAGAAGAGCCTGCATAGTGACTGTTCTCTCATCCGCAGCCTGTTTCTTCAATGTATTCCTTGGAGTCCTGGACTGACAACCAAAGGAAGGCTTGTGCATGATGAAGAGCGGGAGAGATGAAAAAGTGAGACTGCAGCGCGGATCGATTTGGAGAGCAGAGAGGGAGACAAAAGTGTTTTACATTTACTGTAGAGTTTGAGGAGAACGATGTGTTAAGTAAAACCAGACAACAGCTGACGACGATGTGTGATTTAAAGTATATCTGGTAAGGTTGAGTGTTTTAGCAACAACAACTTTAATGTCCAGCAGGTCTGTGAAGGTGAGCATGGTCTGCTAAGCTATCCACTCAAACCAGAAAAACCTCAGGTTCGCTCCTGAGTCCCTGCAGAGAGTCAGCGGCGGGGGGAGAAAAGTGGATTGGATGGAGGGCTGACTTTGACAGCTGGGGGTGATGGGATTAGCAGAAATGGTGGCTTGATATCTGTTGTGTTATTCAGTGTGTGTGTGTGTGCATGTGCGTGTGTGTATGTGCGTGTGTGTATGTGCATGTGGAGATACCAATACAGTCTGTTGTCAGGGAATATTTAAGTTTCCATTAAGAATTTGACAGCTCTGCTTGATTCTCAGTTATGTGTTCATACGTGTTTATTTGTGTGTATTACAGTGTGTATGTGCTATCAAAAGCTTTAACACCCTCATGTTCACAGTCCATGGTATGGAGTGTGCACATTACTATTCCTGTCACAACAGCCTTGCAGTAGAAGAAGCAGTGGTAGTGGAGGCAAGCAGCTCATCCCCTGTAGAAGCTAACGTTGACACTCACACACACCAGCGCTCTTCAATCCAATCAGGTTGTGTGCCTGTGTGTCTACATCTTGCATGTCCTTTTTATTTGTCATAAGTAGGACATATTTACTCTCCCTCCATGCTGTTGCATCGGCATGGCACAGCAGTGTGATGTGATGCATCAACATGTCCATCCTCCCTGATTTCTCCGAGTGACCGCATGATAAATCTCATCACTCACCCTGGCTCTGCGCTCCCCCGTCCCCCTCCTCTGTGTCGGTCAGGTTGTTAAGCATCCCGGCTCCTCAGCGATGCTCCTTCTTCGGCTGCTGCAGAGCGATGTCACTGATCGAGCTCTCGGCAGCTCTTCCCGCTCTCCACGCGCTGCGATGCGGCCACAGAAATTGCAGGGAAGCGGCGCAGAAATTGTGATCCTCCTCACTCCTCTTCACTCCTTGCCGCCTGTAGGATGCAACGACGAGAGGCAGCAGAAGAGAGAGGAGGGGAGATTTTTTTTTCCTCTATGTGGATCCTCCTCTTGACGTCTCTTTTCTAGCTTGCAAGCGTGACTCTCTCTGTTGCGCTCTCTCTCCAGAAGGAGGAGGAGGAGGATGGGAGAGGAAGAGGGAAGGTGAAGCTGCAGGAGTTTGGTGTATGATGGAATGCCTCAAAGCTGCGCATTTGCTCTCCCTTTTTCGTTTTCCCCAATTTCCTTCTCTTTGTCCCTTTTTCAGCTTTTTCCCCCCCACCCCCGGTTCTTAATATCACTCAAAACAATATTCTTAGACGATGCTGCTCTCCCGATGTAGGCGCCAAGCTGATTGCATATTCAAGCAGCTGTGTGATTTTCTAAATATCCACTTCTGTCCTTCTTTTCTGTCTCCTTCTTCTCATCACCTCTGTCAGACAAATCTGTGATTCAAGAGGCAGAGTGAGCAGCCAGTAGCTTCACCATCTATAAATGTGCTTCATGGTTTGGTTTCTCTTTCTCTGTTTTGAAATGAGCAACTGCACACACTTCAAATTTATTGTCAAATGCAAATTGACTTTTTCTTTTTTTTTCTTTTTTTCCTTTCAGAGAAAGGCAAGCCTTAAGAGTTACGATAAACATGGAAAGCCTTGCACTCAGACGTGCACACACAGATTAATACAGCAACTGGTTATCTCAGTCCTTCTTTGGAGCATTTAGTTCCAGCTGAGAGGACCGGCGCTCCGTATGTTGGCGGCTCAGCTTTGGAGCCCCGCTGCAAATTAGACCATCCTCATTTTGATCCATGCAGATTCATTCTGATCTGGTACACTATGTACTGAGAGCAGAGAAGTGAGCAGCACAGAGACGCTGGATGAGTGTGGTTCTGTGTTTTCTGCAGCGGTTCTGTTTATGTCGAATGAATCTTGCTTTTGGTCATGCTGGCATTGATGCACAGAGCAGACTGCAACCATAAGACAGAGAATCCAATTCTGGACTCCCACAGTTGTTGACACTGTAAGAAATATAATCGGTTTCACAATGGTACAATAATTTCAACCAACAACCATGCCTTGAAGCTTAGTCAAAAGTTTTTACTCAGATGTTTGTGTTCTCCTTCTGCAGTTGTACTAACCTTCATGCCAGATGTGTGTGTGCAGCAGCAGGAGATCCAGACAAATTAAATTATAATATTGAAGGTAAAATGAGTCTTTGGATTAAACATTCATGCCTTAAATCTCCTTCTCATCATGTAAATTATGCAAAAATATAGATTAAAACATCTTTCACTTTGATGAATCTTTACATGTTCAAAATTTATTGTGTTCTCCTTCTCCTAAATTATTCCCATTAGTTTTCTATCAGTGTTGTTCAGATTTAGGGTGAATTCCATCATCATTTTGTTTTAATACTTTTTCACTTTATGTTTTCTCGAGTCAAGCACCAATCCACTGTTTTCACTTCCAATATAATAAAGCCACCTGAGGTTTCATATCAGGCAATACCGATCCAATCCAATCCAAAAAGCAGCACTGACTTGACTTCAAATGTTTCTTTTTTAAAACACAGACATAAATGTACTGAATAACAAATTCATTTGATAACTCTACAGCAGTGCAATACACTTCAATATACCAATATCTTCACAAGCTTGGCCAAACATGTCATTAATTTGTTCAGTCTGTGCAATCAGAAAAATAACAGCCAATGTAAGATCAATAATAAAGAAACTGAAACTAATAGACTGAATAGATCTGTCCTTACCATGTCATCTGCTTGACTGATTGATATGCCGTTTGTATTTTGCATTCCACATATATTGGTTGTAAGAAATAATTCTTTAAGCTATTGTTGTGTTTCTGTATCTCCAACGGACTCACTTACTAGGATTCAGAATCCATATAAAATGTGCCAAAATTTATTGGAAAGATTTTGAAGAAAAAAAACATCAAATCTGCAGCCTTGTATATGAAAATGACCAAAACAAAGAGGGAACTACAAAAATGGAAGAGATTCAAATAGCATGTCTTATTTGAATGATAATATTGTTTTTTTGCAGACCATGTCTGCAAAATAAATATTGAACATTTTGGAAACAATGTATGTACAGAGCAAAACTATAGCAGAGCCAAGGAAAATCATTGACGGAATGCATTAAGTTGCTGTCATGAGTTTGATATCTCGTTATTTGTGATTTACAGTCATATGAATTCAAATGTCAACTGAACAATCATATCTAAAAAAAAAGGCCATCAAGTGCATATCTTAGCTATCTTATGATCTCTGTGATATTTATTATGCTTATTTTTTAATATATATTTCATATAGTGCAAAATGTCCTAAATTGAGCAAGTAAAGCAATGTGACAAAAAGAAAGTAGTTGATGATGTTGAAGTAATGTGCTGCACATGCTGCTGCTGCAATACTGCATCACTACTGCAGCTGTTCACATCTCTCCCCAAAACAGAGAGAGCGTAATTATCTCTGCTGATGTGTGTACAGGTGTACATAGTCAAGAAAACAAGAATCAACTGCAGCCACTGAGTTTGTACACACAGATTGATATTCAGTGCAAGCTCGCTGACTCAAATGAAAGTTTATTTAGCCCTAAACAAGCTGACATTAACCAACTGACTGCCAAATCTCTGTAATATTTTTTGATTGAGACGGATGGAAAGCCGGACGCCAGCCAGCAGTTGATCACAAATGTTGTGCTTTACACAGCTGAGCGGTATTAGATCTAGTTTAATTGCAATGACCTTGAAAATCAACTCTTTTGCACCTTATGAGTTTAAGAGTGTTTAGAGAATGATATTTAAAATACATTATGAAAAAAAGAAAGGAACAAAGTGTCTCCATGCGAGAAACAATAAACTAATTCTATCTGCAAATGCTTTAGTTTTCGAACCAAAATCTTACTCACATGTGTCAAACTCCAGTCCCCTATGGCTGATGACCTGCAACTTTAGATGTTTCCCTGGTTCATCACACCCGAATAAAACACCTGATTTATCACCTCAGGATGCAGTTAAGTTCTCCACAGCTCTGCTAATGACCTGATTATTTGAGTCATTATTTGTGCTGTAGCAGAGATATATCAAAACGTTTCATGACGTTGGTCTCATGTGATATAAAGGATAGCTCACAAATGTATCAGACAAATAATTAACCTTGACTTTTAGGGCTAAAATTGGAATAATACAGTTAAAAAAACAGAAATAAACAAAAAAAAAAAAAAAAAAACCAAGTATACCAGCACATTGACAATTCAACCTTCTATTCAATTCATTTAAAAGAAACTATATTCCCAGGGGAAATTAAAGGAGGCACATATTCACAAATATGCACTAATTAATTGATTTTCAAATCTCAGGAAAATATACCATATACATTGTGAGGCAGTAAAACAAAAACTCTTTAATTTAATTTGCCAGCTGCCATTTTAACAACAAAGCAATAATTTACACGGTCAGCTGAACCCAAATAGTATACCAAGTAAAAAGCAGCACTTATTCATCATTTCAGCACCTGATTTCATTGCATCAAAATATTTCTTTAGGCACTTATTGTAAGTGTTTGCAAATTCAATATAAACACTTGTGGAAGAAAAAAAAGGCAAACAAAATACTCCACCTACTACATTATTCAATTACGGTATCTAATCACACACACAGTTTCATTTTTCAATCAGTTCAAGCAAAACAAAGTCTATGAGTGATAAAATTGACAAACTTTGACATTTCTTTGTCTTCTCTGTTAGAGTTCAGTTTTTCTCAGACTGTTTTTCAGTGCATAGACTGCTGACTCAACCAAGCTTCAAAAAGGTGCCCTAAATGGCATGGCTTGCTGACAACTTATCACTATCTTGTCCAGAAAGGCATCATGTTATTGGATTAGCACAAATTCTTACAAAAATGAGACGATGCCAAGAGGAATTCTTTGGTACTGGGTGAAAGAAAACATGTAACCCAAAGACATAGACATACAAATTTACGTCTATTTGAGGAGTGTAAAGAGATGTTTGTGACCTTATAAAGCTTCTATATGACCCGGCGATTTAAATTGAATGTCATAACGACGGAGTGCTTTCAGCGACAATGTTTATGTATGACTCGTCTGAAGTTGTTGTGTCCTTGCATGATTAAGTGCATGTAAGCATGTTTTTCTATGTTATTTGAGGTGGCTGTGTATTTTCCAGGAACACCAAATATTCATTAGGAGAAAATTAATCAGAAAACAGTTTTAAGCCACTGAACGCTGGCTCAAATGTCCTACGGCTTTGGCAAAACTCTCAGCAGAGGCTGGACTGTATAAAATCTGCTGATTTATGCTGAAGTAGATGAAGCTTTAACAATGTTTGCTTTGATCAAGAGCTTACGGGTGAAGCAGGAACACATCCACAATGCTTTTAGAAAAGACAAGAGAGAAAGGAGATCCAGCTGCAGTGACTATGTGCTGTCATAAAACGGTTCCAAATGTTAGAAGGCAGAAGATATTAAAAATGAAATAAGGCAAATTGGAAATTAGATAAGATTTGCTCAGAATAGAACAGAAAATCCAGTTTGGTTGAGCAAACAAAAATATAAAACATCGATCTAGCTGCATTTCGGTAAATCTGATAGCAGACATTACATTGGCTGATTTATCTCACAAATTCCAACTATGCACATTTGCAATTTGTCAGTCTTGAGGTATTTGCTGTTTATAGCAGTGTTGTGCTGCATCACAGATTTTATTCTTATTGGCACCATAAATGAACTGGTCATTCATATTCAAACATTATTCTAGCATTCTGGGTTGTCTGAAAATGGGAACAGCTTTGATTTTAATTATGGTTATTAAAAACTCTCCTGGAAAGTTTATGCCTGCAGTTCTCAGATAGAGACGAGGATCAGTGACCTCACAACCAGACAGACTCCATGAACCTGCTCACTCAGATGAAGGCAGCCAGCTCCCAACTGAGAGTCCTCTACTGTGCCACAAATACAATACAATAATTAAATAAAAAAAAAAAACGTTGATTCATGCCAACACTGAAAAGCCCAAAGAGGCAGAATGACAGTTTGTGAATAGAGGAGGACAAAGACCAAAGGAGGGTTCAGGGCCTCATAAGTACTTACGTTTATGCTTCCATGTTATAAAATTATATTACACCAGAGCAGGGGTTTTCAATCTGTTGCTCTCTGGACCTCCCACAAGAGCTCTTTATAATATTTGGCTAAAAATGATAAAGAATGAGCAAAGTCTTATGAGTATAGATGTAATAAACAATGGCAAATTGAATAGTTTTCCCATTTTTATTGCATTTTCACAGCAGAATCAGACTAAACAGTACCAGTAATATATTAGCTCTATTTTACTAAATTTAACTTTTACAACATATTTACCAATATATCCATGTTTCTCCCTTTTTCAAAACATAGAAACAATAAGTAAAAGTTTTCTTTTTCTGAAAGGTCATGTAACATTTGTGATATTAAATGAGTTTTATTTAGCTGAACTGAGAGCAAAATATTTGCATTTAAATGTTGTAGATACTTAATAAATGGAAAGATGCGCAATTCCTATAGAATCCTCCATACAAGAGATTTTAG